AGGCGGAGGTGATTGACGGGGCGGACGCCCAAAGAGCACGGGAGGAGACGGACACGGGAAGGGGGGTGGGGGGGGCGGAGTGGAGACGCGCGGAGAAGAAAAGGGGAGGACCGAGGTGGGGAGGGAAGAGGGGAGAAGAGAGGGCGGAGGACTGTTTAAGGGGGTGCCGGGAAGAAGGGGAGGGAGACGGGTGGAGGGAGCCTCAAGGGGGAAGAAACTTTAGGCAGCTTTTCGCAAGGCCCCGCCGGATGTCCCTCAGGTCACGACGCCGCTCCCGGGGCTGCGGTTTGCCGGGTAGATTCTGCCCAGGAGCCGACGAGTGGGATGGGAGAGTTTGGACGCGCTCGGACGCCCCTCAAAGATTTGGCTTTTCCCGCTGACAGTGCCCCACCCCCATCCTAGGAACTCGGGATCCAAGCGGACCGCGAGGGAAAGGGGGAGGGAGCAAGAGAGAAGTGGGGAAAATTTGGCAGTGGCCGAAGGCGAACGCCTGAAAATCTACTTCTTGGAGGATCCCGCCTTTCCTCCTTCTCCTAAGCGGGCCGGCTGCCCCGCGGCCGGTACATCCCGGCTCAGCGCTCTCTGCTCCTCGCTGGGCGGGGACTCAGACTTAACCCCACGGGTCCCAAGGCCAGAGAATCTCACGGCGTTTCCGTGTGGCCTCCATGGAAGTTGACTCCGGTGGGCAGTGCCGGTGGTCTGCCCACGGGGAGGCGAGGACAGGGAACCTAGGATGGTCGTGGTGTTTCCCCCGTGGGTGGTCAGGGAAGACAGAGTTGGAAGTGAGACCACCTCCTCCTTCATCCTCTGGCCTCTCAGCTCGGACTCGGCTCCAGTTCCAGCAGGAGAACCAGATCGCTGAGCTTCGGACTGAGGGGCTTAAAAAAGAGTTTTTCGCTTCTTTGTCAGGGCTTGTGTGTAAACACGTGTTGCTGGTTCTCTAGGAGAAGAGGAGGCGAGTAGGTGGGAGAGGAGAGCTGGAGTGGAAGGGGTGAGGGATGTTGCGGCTGTTTCTACGTTTTTGAAAAGCCCTGGGGTTAGCTCCTTCCAGGACTGGTCCTTCCACCTCCGTTTCCCATCTTCGTTCTGAGCTGTTGCAGGCTGGAGCCTCGTTGGCTCTCAGTGCCAGAATCCAAGCCAAAACAGAGACCCCGCTCTGTCTTCAGCTTAGAACTGTGCAGCCTGTGTCTAGGCCACACTTCTTCATTCCTAGCCCTTTAAATTTACTCGGAAGTTTGTGCTAGGAGCACTGGAATGGGAGTCCAGAGCCCTGAGATCAGGTTTTGATTTTGCTTTGTGTTGATGAGCAAGGCCCCTATTTGTTCCTCTAATCCTTAGCAACATTTCTCAAAGTATCCCCTCCCCCTGCATTAGTGTTCTAGAAGTCCTCTGGGGAAGTTGCAGGCATGAAAGAGTGGAACCCTGGGACTCTCCCTAAAACTTCTGCCTCTGGGGGACTGTCCACATGTATTGAGACTACAGGGCTATCGAAGTATGTTCCAAGCCAAGCCAACTCCCTGCATAAAATCAGGCGGCATGCTCAGCCTGCATCTGTCTGCTGGGAGGAGCTCTTTTGTGTCCAGGCCACTTTATCCAGTGTCCTGTGTGGTAGCCCCAGAGTCAGGCTTAGAGGACCCTGGAGGACATGAGGAAATAATTACCCTCTGCTGCACTGAGGTTCAGAGCCCACCTTGCTGTTCCCAAGAAAGGGAACCTATTCGTTCCAAAACCTCTTCCTCAGCCACATGGCTAACGGTTGGCAGACAGGTCCCAGCTCTGGCCATAGCCATCTTCCATGTTGGCAAGATAAGGCCATTGCTGTGGGGCAGCACCCTGGTCTGTTTCAGGGGAGTGGGACTGGGCAGTAACTTCCTGGTGAGACTTTGGGTCAGTTTATGCTCTGCTGCAGCTCATTCTCTCTCCTATTAGGTGAGGCCTGCATGATCTTTCAGATCCCTGTTGGGTCTAGGCTGGGGTGGGTCTAAGAATACTAACCTTGAAAAAGTGGGTAAACTTTGCAACCTCAGCCGCAGCTCCTGTGGGGAATATGCCCCTCCCTGAACCCTTGGAGCTTCCAGATTGAACTTCCCTCAGGAACGAGTCCTGCCTGTGCTCGGCTAAGGCAGATTTTCTGGAGCTTCAGACTCATCGTCCCTTCTAGTGTTGCCCTCTTTGTGGCCTCTGGGCGCTGAGCCCAGGAGTTGGACCTGCCAAGAGAACGCACGTGGCGCCTGCCATCTTGGAAAATAAAGTGTGCGCCATATGAAAAGTCATTACAGAGCAAGCACAGAAAACCTATAACACGATTACTCAATACATGGGTGTGTGTCCATATGCCATTAGATCTCCCCTTCCCCCATATTTGTAGGAAACCAGTTCTAGCAGGTCTGGGCTAGAACCTCATGCCCACAGAGGCAGCTGAGCGCCTGCCCTAACAAAAGCTACAGCTCAGCTAGGGTCTTTTTACACTCTGCAGCCCCCTCCCTGCCTAGTCCCCTTTTTGACAGCCTTTGCCACAGGACAGAGAACCTGGGGTACTCTGGGTACTTTGGGTCCCCGAGGATTTGATAGATTCCAGCCTGACCCCAAGGCGATCTCAGCCCCAGGTTCCAGTGCTCAGAGCAGCTGCTGGAGGGGCCGGAAGGTGCCAGACACCTTGGGTCTACCCTACCCCAATCTATGGAATCTATGGACTCTGACATCTGTTCCTTTCCTGAGACATCCGTGAGAGGCCTGCACAAACAGGAGAACCTCCATGGCGGGGAGGAGGAAACTTTTGTAGACCTGTGGAAATTTGGGCCTTACTGAAATGTCTCCTTTCACCTCCAAGGTGGGCTGAGATAGACTTTCTGGAAGGCAGCACTAGGGATGGATGGGTGTGTTCTGATGAGCCCACACTGACCGAATGCCTTTCCCCTGACTCTTGTTCAGGGACAGTCTGGGGCCTTTGTGTCTGGGGCTGGGCAGGGAGCTTCCCAGAGCAAGGCTCAGGGCTCCCCACTGCCCATCCCAGGGTTGGCACATGGCCCAGTCCCGGGACTTTTGGAGAAAG